TGGTCTGGTGGAAATGGTTTTAATGTAACAAATTTAATATTGGAATTTCATACTGCTCTTAATAGCAGTGCATGGGACCATGTGGATTACCTTTAAAGCTCCCCTTTCCTATTCCATATGGATTAGAATTAGGAACCTGGTAAGTATATATGTGTAAGTGTGCTATTATTTTTAAAACCACTTTTATGGTGTGGTCCATTTCACTGACCTTCTTTTCCTCTCAGTTGACCCCTGAGTGTCATTTTTAAAGAACTTATATTTCTAATTGCTGGGGTTTAAATGATGACTACAACAGGAAGTCCCTCCTGTGGGAAACTTACAGAAGTGCAAAAAACTGACATAATAAATATATATACAGTGGGGCCTTGACTTACGAGTGTCCTGACTAACGAGTTTTTTGAGATACCAGCTATCTCTCCGCCGATTTTTTGCATTGAGTTGATAGAGTAATTTGAGTTAACGAGCTCCTTGATGAGCTCCTTAACGATCTCGGTCTCTGAACGAATTAAACTCGTAAGTCAAGGCTCCACTGTATATATATAATATCCATCAGTGAAAGTGCCATATAGGAAAAATAAAGCAGGATGAAGGACATAGAGCAATGGGATAATATCTTAGATAGAGCATGCAAGGATAGGGTACACAGATTAACAAGGTGCATTTTGGCCTGGTTGGTGTGACTCAGTGGTTGAGCATCTACCTGTGAACCAGGAGCTCACTGTTTCATTCCAGATCAGGGCACATGCCTGGGTTGTGAGCTTGATTCCCAGCAGAGGACACCCAGGAGTCAGCTGATCAATAATTTTCATCATTAATGTTTCTCTCTCTCTCTCTTCCTCTCACTTCTTCTGAAATCAATAAAAATATATTAAAAAAAAATAATTTCAAAACCAGGTAAAGACACTTCAAAGAAAGAAAATTGTAGGCCAGTATCCCTGATGAACATAGATACTGAAATCCTCAACAAAATATCAGCAAACTGGATTCAGCAATACATTAAAAGTGACATTTATTTCAGGGATGCAAGTGTGGTACAATATTTGCAAATCAATAAATGTGATACACCATGTAAACAAACTGAAGGATAAAATTCACATGATCATATCAATAGATGCAGAAAAAGTATTTGAAAAATCCAGGACCCATTTATGATAAAAAAAACTCTTAGCAAGGTGGGAATAGAAGGATCATACCTCAACATAATAAAGGCTATATATGGCAAACCCACAGTTAACATCATACTCAGTAGGCAAAAACTATAGGCATTTCCCTTAAGATCAGGAACAAGACAGGGATGTCTGCTTTCACCATTCTTATTCAACATAGTACTGGAAGTCCTAGCCACCGCAGTCAAACAAGAAAAAGAATTATAAGGCATCCAAATTGGAAAGCAAGAAGTAAAACACTCATTGTTTGCAGATGACATGATATTGTATATAGAAAACCCTAAAGACTCCACCAAAAAAACTACTAGATCTAATGAATGAATTTGACAAAGTAGCAGGATATAAAATATTCAGAAATTGGAACCATTTTATACACCAAGTAGAGGCCTGGTGCACAGATTTGTGCACTGGTGGGATCCCTCGGCCTGGCCTGCAGGGATTGGGCCGAAACCAGCTTTCTGACATCCCCCGAGGGGTCCTGGATTGTGAGAGTGTGCAGGCCAGGCCGAGGGACCCCACCGGTGCATGATCTGGGCTGGGGAGGGACTGCGAGAGGGCTCCAGGGCGTGTCTGGCCTATCTTGCCCAGTCCTGATCAGTGCTGATTGAGGCTGGCTGGCTGGGGAGGGACCAAGGCAGATTGGCTTGCTGGGGAGGGGCTGCGGGAGGGCTCCAGGGTGTGTCCGGCCTGTCTTGCCCAGTCCTGATTGGGGCCAATCAGGGCTGTCTCGCTCAATCCCTATTGGCCCCGATCTGGGAGGGATCGCAGGAAGGCTTCAGGGTGTATCCAGCCCATCTCACCGAGGCCCGATCAGCCAAAACTCAGCATCAAGCTACCCTGCTGGTCAGAGCATCTGCCCCCTGGTGGTCAGTGCATGTCATAGTGACTGGTCAAACGGGCGGACACTTAGCATATTAGGCTTTTATTATATAGGATAATGAACTACCAGGAAGCGAAATTAAAAAAACAATCTCATTTACTATTGCAACAACAAAAAAAGATACCTGGGAATAAATTTAACCCAGGAAATAAAACACCTGAACTCAGAAAATTATATGACCCTAAAGAAAGAAATTGAGGAAGATATAAGTAAGTGGAAGCATATACTGTATTCATGGATAGGAAAAATTAACATCATTAAATGTCCATACTTCCCAAAGCAATCTACAGATTCAGTGCATTTCCTATTTAAAATACCAATGGCATGTCTCAAAGGTCTAGAATAAATATTCCAAAAATTTATATGGAACCCCAAAAGACTCTGAATAGCCTCAGCAATCTTGAGGTATCACACTACCTGATATCAAACTAAACTACAAGGCCATAGTAATCAAAACAGCATAGTATTGGTACAAGAGCAGACATACAGATCAATGGAACAGAATAGAGAGCATAGAAATAAACCCACACCTTTATGATCAATTAATATTTGACAAAGAATGCAAGAACATTCAATGGGATAAAGTCAGTTTTTTCAAAAAATTATGATGGGAAAATTGGACAGATAACATGCAGAAATATGAAACTAGGCCACCAACTTATAGCATACACAAGAATAAACTCATAACAGGTAAAAAACAAAAAGTTAAGTTGTGAAACCATAAATATCCTAGAAGAAAAAATAGGCAGTAAAATTTCAGACATTTCTTGTAGCAATATTTTTTCTGATATATCTCCTCAGGCAAGGGAAACAAAAAACAAATGGGACTACATCAAACTGAAAAGCTTTTGTGCAGCAAAAGAAACCAACAAAATGAAAAATCCCACTGAATGGGAGAATGTATTTGCCAATGATGCATCTGATAAGGGGTTAATTTCCAAAACATATAATGAATTTACTGGTATACAACTCAACACTTAAAAAACAAATGATTTGCCTGGCTGGCATTGCTCAGTGGTTGAGCATTGACTTATGAACCAGGAGGTCATGGTTTGATTCCAGGTCAGGGCACATGCCAGAATTGCAGGGTCGATCCCCAATGTGGGGCATGCAGGAGGCAGCCAATCAATGATTCTCATCATTGATGTTTCTATCTCTCCCTCTCCCTTCCTCTCTGAAATCAATAAAAATATATTTAAAAACAAAAACCCCCAAACGATCCAATTTAAAAAATGGGCAAAGGGCTTGAATAGACACTTCTCCAAAGAGGATGTACAGATGGCCAATAGACATATGAAAAGATGCTCTATGTCACTAATCATCAGAGAAATGCAAATTAAAATCACTGTAAGATATCACCTCACAAATGCTAGAATGGCTATCATCAACAAACAAGTGCTGATGAGGATTTGAAGAAAAGGGCACCCTTGTGCACTGTAGATGGGAATGCAGACAGGTGTAGCCATGGTGGAAAACAGTATGGAGTTGCCTCAAAAATTAAAAATGGAACTGCCTTTTGACCCAGAGTTTTTACTTCTTGGAATATATCTGAAGGAACTGGAAACACTAATTCAAAAGAACATATGCATCCCTATATTTATTGCAGTGTTATTTACAATAGCCAAGATCTGGAAGCAGCCCAAGTGCCATTAGTAGATGAGTGGATAAAAAAGCTGTGGTACATTTACACAATGTAATACTACTTGGCCATAAAAAAGAAGGAAATCTTACCTTTTGTGGACAGCATAGATGGACCTGGAGATTATTATGTTAAATGAAACGAGCCAGTCAGAGAAAGATAAATACCATATGATCATATATGTGGAATCTAATGAACAAAATTAACTGACGTACAACAGCAATAAAAAACCCCCCACAGAGGCATGGATACAAGGAACAAAATGATAGCTGTCAGAGGGGAGGGGGCTTGGCTGGCTGGATGAAAGAAGGTAAAGGAGATGAAGGGATAAGCAACACACACACACACATAAAATACATAGACACCGGCAACAGTGTGATGATAGCCAGAGGGAAACGGGGGTGAGGTAGGCAAAGTGGGGATAATTGGGGATGGATAGAGGCTTTGCTTTGGACAATGGGCACATGATGCAGTGTGCAGATGATGTTTTGTTGAGTTGTACACTTGAAGCTGGTATGGTTTTGTGAACCAATGTCACCCCAATACAATTTTAAAAAATTTAAAAAATAATAAAAAATGGGCAAAGGACTTGAATAGTCATTATTCCGAAGTAGATATACGGATGGCCAATTAAATAAGTACCCGAAAAGATGCTCTTTCTGGCTGGAGTGGCTCGGTTGGGCATCATCCATTGCACCAAAAAGTTGCTGGTTTGATTCCTGGTCAGGGCACATACTCAGGTTGCCAGTTCGATCCTTGGTAGGGGGCGTGCAGGAGGCAGCCAATCGATATTTCGATCTGACATTGATGTTTCTTTCTCTCCCTCTCCCTTCCTTTCTCTCTAAAGATCAGTATAAGAGTTTTAAGAAAATTAAGAAAAAAAATGAATCACATTTAAAAAAAGATGCTCAGCATCCTTGATCATTATGGAAATGTAAATTAAAACTATAGTGAGAAAAAAAACTATAGTGAGATACCACCCCACACCCATTAGGATGACTTCTATCACATAAACAGAAAATAAAAGGTGTTGCTGATGATGTGGAGAAATAGGAACCCTCGTGCACTGTTGCTGGGAATGAAAAATGGCAAGGCTGCTATGGGAACGCATATGGCAGTTCTTCAAAAAATTAAAAATAGAATTACCATATTATCCCGCTATTCCACTTCTGGGTATATACTCCTAAAGAAATGAAATAAAGATTCAAAAAGATATTTGTATACCCATATTCATAGCAGCGTTATTCATATTAGGTCAAACTTGGGAGCAGCTAAAGTGTCCTTTAATGGATAAATGAATAGGCAAAATGTAGTATATGAACACAATGAAATACATTATATTTACAACAAATACAAGACAGTCTTAAAAAGGAAGGAAATTCTGACATAGGTATAAAATGGATGAACCTTGGGGACCTTATTCTAAAAGTGATAAGCCAGTCACAGTATGATTCCACTTATATGAGAAACTTAGTGTTGTTATAATCATAAACACAATATAATATGGTTGTCTGGGTCTAAGGAAAGGAGAATGGGGTTTTATTGGTTCATGGGGAGAGTTTCAGTTTTATAAAATGAAAAGTACTATGGACATGCTGGTGATAATGGCTGTATAACTTTATGAATATTTAGTACTACTGAACTGTACATTCAAAAATACTTAAAATGAGAAACTTTATGTTTATATATTTTACCTCAATTAGAAATTACTCTAAGATTTTATATATAATAGGTTTTTATTTTTTGAGGGAGAATTTAATTTCTTTATTGATTAAGGTATTACATATGTGTCCTTATCCCCCCATTGCCCTCCCACTCATGCCCTCATCCTCCTGGAGAATTTAATTTTTAAAAGCAGCTATAGGTTATTTAGGGCCTGATCTTGTTAATATTTGGAGTTGTTAAACTTGATATTAACATTTTTGGTCAAGAGAAATATAGAAAAATAACTTGTTGGGACTACTTTTTTATGTTCTATAAGTTTCTAAAAAAATGATTTTACACTTACAGTAGAATTGTAAGAAGTATATCTCATTTGTCATTTCTTATTTTCTTAGTCTTTTCTTGTCTTTCATGACCTTGATATTTCTGAAGCGAGCTGATTAGTTATTTTGTAGAATGTCCTTCAATTTGGGTTTGTTTGATGGTTTATCTTGATTACTGGAAAAGATACCACAGAAGCGAGGTGCCCTCCTCAGTATATCCTAACAAGGGTGCTTGATGTCAAATGATTATTGGTGATGTTAACCTTGATCAGTTGGCTCCGATGTTGCCCGCTAGGATTCTGTACTATAAACTTACTATTTTCCCCTTATATTGTTAAATATTTTTGGACAGTTGCTTTGAAACTAGCTTGAGGTTTTATTCACTAATTTTAGAATTCATTGATTTTTTTTGCCTGTGGCAGTTACTGGTGTGGAGTACTAATGGTGATTTTTGTATTTGCCTCATTCCTTCTATGTTTATTAATTGGAATTCTTTTGTTAGATAGAGTTGTCCCCTTTCCCCCATTATAAATATGTTAGTTAATTTTAATACAGTCATGTGCCAGATAACCATGTTTTTGGTCACCAACGGACCAAATATACGAAGGTGATCCCATCCTATCTAATAATAGAGAAACATGGTAATTAACCGTAACTTCGCTACCCTTCCCATTGGCTAATCAGCAGGATATGCAAATTAACTGCCAACAAAGATGGCGGCCGGCAGCCAC